TCGTCGGAGATGTCTGTTTTCAGGCCCCCCCGGGAACGCCTCCGGCGAGGCGTAGTTGCTGGAAAGCATGCCGAGGCGAGAGACACCTAGGAAGCAAGAAAACTCGGCCCTCCTCTAGAACGAGAATGATATCATGATGCGATTGGCTTAGGGTATTATGTTCAAGGAACTCCAGAGTGTATGCGGCCATCGCTTCTGCAGCCCGTAAAGAACAACATTCGAAACTATGGGAAATCTGGAAATCTTGCAACGCATCATTCTCATGACCTCTTGCTCCTCTGATCCTCGCTCTCCGGCGGCGGCGGCGGCGGCGTCCTGCGGCCTGGCCGGCTCCGCGAAGACAACGACCTTGGCGCGCGGCTTCGGCTTCCCCAGGAGCGCCTGCAGGGGCCGCGAGGCCGCCGCTGCCGCCGCCGCCGCCGTCGTCGACGACGACTTGGTATTCGCCGTAGTCGGCGATCGTCTTCTTCGTTTCAAGTGGTGGAAGGGAAGAGGGAGGGGGAGGAGGAACACACAAGCGTGGGGCGTCTGGGAAGTGGGAGGGGGAGAAGTGGGAGCAGGGGATCGGCAAGGAGAAAGGAGACGAAGGGCGGTGCAAGTGGGAGGGGGAGAGGGGGCGAGGGGACGGGGATGACGGCGAAGAGGAAACGGGCGAGGCTGCAGGGAGAGAGGATCTCTGCGCACCACCCCTCTTCCCCTGGCACCCTCTCCCCTCCCATCCCGCCAGCCCGCCACCCCGCCGTCCGGCCATCCCCTCGCCCAGCTCGCACCCCTCCCCCCTTCGAATCTCCTTCTTGCGCCCTCCGCCATCCCGCAATCCCCTGGCCCATCTCGCCTCCCGCATCCTTCACAACTCGAACCTGCCCGCGCTCCCGCTCCACACCCTCCCCGCCCCCGCCCGCCCCAGCCTGCCTCGCCCCCTCGCCCTCCCGTCCCCGCACTCCTCGCCCGTCTCTCCCGCTCCCGCCTCGACCCCTGCCACCCCACCCCGCCTCCCGCCCGCCCCCCTCCGGCCACCCGCCCCCCTCTCCCCTGCCCTCTCGGAGGGCCCCCCGGCCGCCTGCCCACCGCAGGGGAACCACAACACAAACAAGGCGTGAGCACAAACCGTCGGCGCTCCGCGCGGATCTCGTGGATCGGCGCTGGACCCCCCGCCCGAGCGCAAATCCAGGAGATTCGCGCAGAGCTCCGCCAGAGTATGCATTAAGACCAAACCATGACGAGGATAACATCGGGTGAGGATAAATCAAGAATCTCCGAGATCTGGCGGATCTGGAGTACGCCTCGGGCGCCACGGCCTTCCCAGAGCGATCCAGTACGCTCTGAGAGCGTTTCGGAACGCTCTGGAACGTACTTATCCTCGTCCTGGCCTCGTCCGATGCTTATGTAGTTGTTCTTCTCTGAAACCACCCCCTCAGATCTGATCCGTCTTTCTGTCTCATGTTTTCGGGCCGGATCGATCCGTGAGGGTCGAGCGGCCCGAAACTCGGCGAAAACGCCCCCTGTGAAGAAATCGCGACGCCCGGATCCGAAGGACCTCCCCGCTCGGTCGGAGGCACCCGCGCGCCCTCCTCCCCGCGGCGCGCGCGCGCGCCGGGCCTGGGGGCCGCCGAGCGCCTCGCGCCCCAGCAGGCACGGCGTGCAGGAGGTCGCGCGCATGGCCGCGGAGGCCTCAGGGGCCGCGGCCGGCGCCGGCGCCGACGCCGACCACGACGAACGCTCCGACGACGACCACGACGACGACGATGACAGCTCCGACTCCGACTCCGACTCCGACCCCGAGTCCGAGTCCGAGTCCGATTCCGACGACGACGACGACGACGACCACGGCGGCGGCGGCGGCGACGGCTGCGACAGCGACGGTGTCGCCAACGACACCGACGACGTCGACGACGAAGACGGCGACGGCAACGGCGACGACGACGAGTATGCGGATGCAGAATCCCACCAGCCCTTTGGGCGTGAGTGGTTTAAAGAGCCCCCTCTGTCCTCAACCCCCCAACCCCCCTTCTTCCCCTTCGGGGAGGGGCTTACCCCTCCCCCTACCCCCTCCCCCTGGGCCTGGACAGGGAGTCCCGCGGGTGGTCAGGGGGGTCTTTTTCGACGCCTGGGAGGGCCAAAAAACGACGACCCTCACGAGGATTCTGGCCCCGACGGGGGGGCGCTCTTGTAGCCCCCTCCTCTTCTGTGAAGCCAAAATCCTTGCTTTTACGAGGGTTTTGGCCCCATTTTGGCCTCCCGAGGGGGCCGCGCTCATCTTCCTTCATAGCAAAATCATTGATTTTACGAGGGTTTTGGGCTCATTTTGTCCTTCTCAGGGGGTAGCGCTCATTTGCGCTTCTGAGGAGGTCGCACGAGGCCCCCAAGAGGCCCCAAGATGCCCCCAGGAGGCTCCCAAGAGGCCTCCAAGAGGCCACCAAGAGGCCCCCAAGAGGCCCCCAGAGGCTCCCAACAGGCCCCCAAGAGGCCCCCACGAGGCCCCCAGAGCCCCCAAGAGGCTCCCAAGAGGCCCCCAAGAGGCCCCCAAGAGGCCCCCAAGAGGCCCCAAGAGGCTCCAAGAGGCTCCCAAGAGGCCCCAGGAGGAGCCCGAACGACTCACACCAGGACGAGGGGCCCGAACGACTCACACCACGAAGAGCCCGAACGACTCACACCACAAGGAGGGGCCCGAACGACTCACACCAGGACGAGGCGCCCGAACGACTCACACCACGAGGAGCCCGAACGACTCACACCACGACGCGGGCCCCGAACGACTCACACCACGAGGAGCCCGAACGAGTCACACCAGGAGGAGGGGCCCGAACACTCACACGAGGATGGGGCCCGAACACTCACACCACGAAGAGCCGAACGACTCACACCAGGACGAAGAGCCCGAACGACTCACACCACGAAGAGCCCGAACGACTCACACCAGGAAAAAGGGCCCGAACGACTCACACCAGGACGAGAAACCCCAAACGACTCAAATCACGAGGAGCGCTTTCTCTCCCTCCTCCTCCGCCTCGTCCTTCTCCCGCTCCCCCCACAAGGAGGATTCACAAGGAGGCGGGAGGAAGGAGGGACAGGGGAGATATACGGAGCCCAGCGGACACACGCCTGAAAAACACAACTGTCGACATGCTTCGCGAGAGCTGCTGCTGTGAGATGGGCTGGTGGGGATACGCGAAGCGTAACGAATTTCGACGCTGACGGCCCCGACGATCGAAACGAACAAGAGGCATGCAGACAGTGAGGACGATCATCAGCCCTTTTCAGTAACGGTGCGATCATGCGAATCCTGAGAACGATGGCGTCAGTGATGGTTGAAGGGGCCCTAGGACACACAAATAAATAGACACCAATAACAGGATTACCCATATTTTCCCATATGTTCTGGGTTTTGGCCTTCCCCCCCACTTTCCATACTTTCTGGGGAATCGACGATTCATTGTGTCTGCGTTTTTCCCCTCCTGAATAGTCACGATCGATAGGACGCGGCGGCGAGGATGATCCTTAGGGCGATATGGGCATGATAAATGCGAATGTGTTTGATGAGGACGATGGTGGACATGATAAAGATGACGATGGCTCGCACGATCAACGACATGATGAGCCACAAACCTATGAATAGCGCGCGCCGAAACAAAAGCTGGGCGTCGACGCCGTTGGACCCACCCAGAATAGCGCGCGCCGAAACAAAAGCTGGGCGTCGACGCCGTTGGACCCACCCAGCTGCCGCCGGCTGGGAACAGACCACCGCCCGCACCCCCGATCCGAACCAGCCCGAGGGGCAAGACGTCGTCGTCCCCGCTCCCACACCGCATGCGGCGTGCGCCTGTTGCCCGCAAGGGAGGACGCGACACCGCGGCACCCCAGGGCGCGAGCGCGCGCGCTCGAGCACGAGCCTCTGGCAGTGCTGGAGCCTGGTGGGGCTGCCTGCCCTGCACCGCCCGCGGAGGGGCGATCTTTTGGATCGCCCTGTCGAGACGGCCCGCCCCCCCCTCTGGAGCAGGGACCGCCCGCCCCGGCAGACACGTAGACCCACCGCGAACTGTGATGAACATCGTGACCCAAACCACCCGAACAACGAGTGCTCTTCCAGCACAGAGCCGATGAGCCAAACGAAGGCGGTCTCAGCCAGAAGGGCTCTGGCACAGGAGGCTCTTGGAACATCCTCTGGGCGGGCCCACAGGCCGGCCGGGACGCTCTGCCACTGCTCGACCCTTCCCCCCCCCCCCCCGCGCTGCCCAGCAGTTTACCGGCAATAGAATGACCGCTCCTGACATCATCTTTTTTCTTTCTTAAATGTGGGCACAGAAAGGAAAAGGGAATTATGCCCACATTTTATAAAGAAAGAAAATTAAAGATGATGTCATTATTCCTTGACCTCTGATTCTTTTACCTGCACTGCCTGGCGCGCCCAAAGAGTAAGAGGTACGGGTACGTTCTCCTCCCCTCAGAGACGCGAGCTTGCCGTGCGCCCCTCCTGGAGGCGCGCTCGGCGGCCGCCCCCGCGCCCGCGGGCCGCGCCCCTGCGCGACCACGGGCCGCGCCCCTGCGCGACCACGGGCCGCAGCGGCGGCGGCTCTCCTCCTCCACCTCCTCCTCCTCCCTCCTCCTCCACCTTCCTCCTCCTCCTCCTCCTCCTTCTCCTTCCTCCTCCTCTTCTCCCTCCTCCCTCCTCCCTCGTTCTCCTCCTCCTCTTCCTCCTCCTCCTCGTCCTCGTCGTCTCGTCGTCCTCCTCCTCCTCCTCCTCCTCGTCCTTGTCTTCGTCCTCGCCCTCGTCCTCCACCTCCTCCTCCTCCTCCTCCTCCTCGTCCTCCTCCTCGTCCTCGTCGTCGTCCTCCTCCTCCTCCTCCTCCTCCTCCTCGTCCTCCTCCTCCTCCTCCTCCTCCTCCTCCTCCTCCTCCTCCTCCTCCCTCCTCCTCCTCATCCAGCTCATCCGCCTCGTCCTTGTCTTCGTCCTCGCCATCGTCATTATTCTCCTCCTCCTCCTCCTCCTCCTCCTCTCCTCCTCCTCCTCCTCCTCCTCCTCCTCCTCCTCCTCCTCCTCCTCCTCCTCCTCCTCCTCGTCCTCCTCCTCGTCCTCCTCACCCCCTCCTTTTCCTTCTCCTCCTCGTCCTTGTCCTCGTTCGCGTCCTGCAAACGTCGAGCGGGTCTCTTCGCCGCCCCCCACAACTCCCCGACCCTGGTCCCAAACCGCGGCGACGGATGCGAGGCGCCCCGTGACGAGACCAGCAGGTGATTACGAACACCCGTCAACGCAGCAGCTACAGTCGGGGTTGATTGGAGAGGACAGGGTTCGAGCTAAATAGTGTTTCTCGCTGTCGTTATGTTTTCGGTGTCCTTCGTCCTGTCTTCGTTCCGCCTTTGCTGCGAAACGAAAGCATAACGACAACGGCCCACCAACTCGTCAAAACACTTTTAGGTCCAGCCCTGGGAGAGGACACGCGACAGGGCACAAGACTCCTCCGAGGGCTACAGTGCCACAGGAATGCAGGGGACATGGGTCGCGAGGCAAAGGACACAAAGTGCACCCTTGATTTGGCAGGATCGGCCTACCAATCGGCTTCGCCTGTACGCCACCGCGGCGATGCGCATCTTCTTCCCCCATTCATCCAACCCTCCGTCGAGGAGAATGAGGAGAAACAGGAACTGGCGACGAAGACTTTTCATCTTCGTCCTCCATCTCCTCCGAGAAAGAGATGGATGAGGACGAGGAGGAGGAGGAGGAGGAGGAGGAGGAAGAGGAGGTGGGAGGACGAGGGAAGGGGGAGGAGGGAGGAAGGAGGGAGGAGGAAGGAAGGAGGAAAGGGAAGAGGATGACAGGAGAGGAAGAGGAGGAGGAAGAGGAGGAAGAGGAGGAGGAGAAGAGAGGAGGGAGGAGGGAGGAGGGAGGAGGGGAGCGGGAGGACGGAGGAAGGAGGAGGGAGGGGGGAGGGCGGAAGAGGGAGCAGGGAGGAGGGAGGAAGATGAGTAGGGACGAGGAAGGCGGAGGAGGAGGGCCAGGCCCGGGTCATCCGCAGAAGGGGGTGGGTTCAACATCAACACCTACGAATGGGCTGCGCGTGCAACTATCAATGCCCCCTGCGATTAGAATATGCCGCAGGCAAACAGGGGGCACATCCCTAAGCTCAGGGGGGCGAGCTGCGGGGTGGCCCCGTAAGAGAGGCTCGCTGATTCAGACGAGTCCCTACGGGTCAGCGCGAGGGGAACGGCTGCTGGCCTTTTCTCGCGCCCGCTCTGGGGGACGCGCTGGCGAACAGGGTTCCAAGTACGGGGTTCCCTGCGCCCCTCTTTAATTTGTGAGACAGAGCTCCCACGCTCCGAGACGCCCACCACCCCCCCCCCCGCCCCCAAAGAAACTCCAGCACTCCGAGATGTCCTCGCTCGCGCTCTCTACCCACTGCGCCGCGACAGATGCTTCCCGCGCCGAACGCGCTCAGATGCCGCTTCCCGCGCCAAGCGCGCCCAGGAATGCTCGGCCCCCGCTCTTTCCATCCTCCGGAAAGGTCACACTTATCCCAGGAAATCGGGGGATACATGCGGCACGTGCAGAATATTGAACAAGGACGAGACTTCCTCATTCTGAAAGAGCGTAATCTTCACGGGGTAGCAGTTGTGTATGTATCTCCTACCCTGGCCAATAACTCCAACGCTCTCCCACCCCGAAAAAACGAATTCCACTTCTGGCAAAATGCGAACTGCGCCGCTGGAAGCAAATTGGCGTCGTAATTCATCCGCAGAAAACAATGGCCACTATCGTTCCACATAATGTCAGAGATGACGTCCACAATTCGTCCGCTGCGTTTCCGTGTCCTCTTTTCTACGCTAAACCCTTCAACAACTGTGTCTTCAACCACTAAGAGGTCAGAAGGAGCCCCCGCTGGGTAAGTTTGCCTGAGCTTCCTACTCCTTATCCACCTCCTCCGAACCTGCACAATCCCTCTGCGAAGCAAAAAGTGCAATACTTCAACAACTTCTCTAGTGGACATCCCCCTTTCCGTGCACAGCGTTTGCACAACACTCTTCGTGATTCCTTCGTTGGTCGCTGTATGACTGAATTCTAGAAGCGCTGCGATATCAGGGTCGCCACTGAGGAGCATGGGTTTTCGAAGTTCGCCATCAGCACCAGTAGGTGGCCTCTGAACCTCGGGGGCTCCACCTTCCCGGAACTCCTTCGCTCTCCAGCGGCGAACAAGCGAGTCGATCTCCCGGGACAACATTTCCAACTATTTGGGTTGAGGAAACATACCTCGGGTTCCGCTCCTCCGGGAGCCCTCGAGGACCGAGGACCTAGCTAGCTTTCGGCAGCCGCTTTCCAGCCGTTTGGGGAGGCGTCTGCAGGCCTCTGGGGATCTCCAGAGACTTCCTCCTCTTCCTCGGATGCGAAGTGGGGCTGCCTCTTGAAGCCCACTCAGGTGCCAACAGTCTGCACGGTTGAGTGGACGATCGGATTGGGTAACCCAGAGTCGTCCTGCTTCTTCTCCAGAGACCGCTTTCTCTTCTCCCTCCTCCTCCTCCTTCTTCTCCTGTTCGTCTTCCTCCTCCCCCCTCAGTGGCCGTGGGCCCAGTGGCAACCTCGCGCGAGAGAGAGGTTTGCAAGGCACATCGAAGACGCGACGCACGTGCCGCGAACCGCCGAAGTCCCGCCCATGAAGAAACAAACGTACGCGCGAAGATACATTCGGACGTCCACGCGGATTTCGTGGATGTGCGCTGGATTCCCCGGCGGCATCTCTGGCGCCGACTCCGACAAACCCTGCGCGCCAGCCCGCGCGCCAGGGAGAGGAGTCATGCGCCGATCCACGAAATCTCCGCGGACCTCCCAAAGTTTCTGTGAATATCGCTTGCCATTCTTTTTCATCTAATTGTGCTTGTGAATCCGCCGACCCTGTCGGCGTGTGTGAGGGGCTTCTCCGTTCGCGTCGTGTTTTCTTTCCTGCTCGACTTTCTCTAGCCGCATCCAGTTTCCACTCACCGTGCTCCCGCTCTCCGTCAGCAGAGTCCTCTTCCTTGCACATGCCGCGCCAAGCAATATATTCAACGTCGTCAATACTTCGAAGGGAAGCCCCTTCCCTTTTCCCTTCCCCGGTGCGGGGGGGGGGGGGGCGGACCGGGGGGGTCCTGGAAGGACCAGGGCCCCCCCCCCAGATCCGACCCCCCCGGCAGCCTTCGAGAAAGCCCAGAGGGCGTCGCGAGGAGGTTCGCCCTCCTCCTCCTCCCCCTCCTCCTCCTCCTCCTCCTCCTCCTCCTCCTCCTTCTCCTCCCTCTCCTCCCTCCTCCTCGCACCCTCCTCCCAGCTCGTCCTCCTCCTCCTCCTCCTGCCCGCCTGCTCCTGCTGCTCCTCCTCCTCGCACCTGCTCTGCTCCTGCTCCTGCTCCTGCTCCTGCTCCTGCTCCTGCTCCTCTCCTGCTCCTGCTCCTCCTTCCTCTTCCTCCTCCTCCTGCTCCTCCTCCTCCTCCTCCTCCTCCCTCGTCCACATCCCCCTCCTTCTTCTCCTGCGAATTCTCCCGCTCCTCTCCTCCTCCCTCCTCCTCCTCCTCCTCCACCTCCTCCTCCTCCTCCGTCCTCCCCCTCCTCCTCCTCGTCCTCGTGCTCGTCCCTGTCCTCCTCCTCGTCCTCGTCTCTCCTCGTCTCCTCCTCCTCTTCCTCCTCCTCCTCCTCCTCCTCCTCCTCCTCCTCCTCCTCCTCCTTCGCTTCTTCCTCCCCCTCCTAGCCCCTTCGAGCAGGGTCGACGGCACCAGCCGTCAGGCCTCTCCAATATCGCTTGCCATTCGTTTTCATCGAATTGTGTTTGTTATTGCTACTTGAAAACTATTCGCCTAACCCATACTCCAGCATATTCGGGTTAATCCTCGCCGTCTTCATCCCTCTTCCCTCTTCAAGCTTTCCTCAACCCTCCGTTTTTCCTTCTCCCTCCTGCGTCTTTCCCCCTCCTCCTTCCTCCGTCGTCCTTTTCTTCCCTTCCTCCTCCGTTTTTATTCCCTCCTTATCCTCCTTCGTCCCTCCCTCCATCGTCGTCCTCTTCTCTCGTCTCCCGTCTCCCTCCCTCACTCCCTCCCTCCCTCCTTCCTTCCTTCCCTCCTTCCCTCCCTCCCCCCCTCCCTCCCTCCCTCCCTCCCTCCCTCCTCATCCACCTCTTCCTCCTCCTCCTCCTCTCTTCCTCCTCTTGCTCCTCCTCATCTCCTCCTCCTCCTCCACTTCCTCCTCCTCCTCCTCCTCCCCTCCTCCTCCTCTCCTCGTCTCCCTCCCTCCCCTCCTACTCGTCTCCTCCTCCCTCTCCTCCCTCCTCCCTCCTTGTCTCCCTTCCTCCTCCTCCCCTCCTCCTCCTCCTCCTCCTCCTCCTCCTCCTCCTCCTCCTCCTCCTCCTGCCCCTTCTTCGCCGACTCCCGCGGCCCGCGCCTCGCGACGCCGCGCGCGGGCCGGCGGGCCCCGGGAAGCTGCTCGGCCGCCGTCCAGCTCGCGCGCGCCGCCGGAGAGGGGCCCCTCCCGCCGCCGATGGCGCGGGCGGTGGATGCGCGGGCGAGGAGCGAAGCGAAGAGAACGCCGGAGGATCAGCGACGAAAGTACTCCAGATTTCGTAATAAAAGGGAGGGGGTCTGGACCCTCCAAGACAAGCCATTTCAGACCTCCCCCGTGGGAGAACCCTCCAAAACATCGTCCCCAGACCCCCCCAGGCCCTCCAAGATAGCCTGGAAGAGACCCCCTCCGAAATGAGACCCCCCTCCCTTTATTACGAAATCTGGAGTACCCCTCCCTGATCCTTTGGGAGGGGTCCTAAGTTCGGAGGGCGAGGGGGTATGCTTTTGCGGATGTCACAGACGGCACCACCCACCTCTGTAGGGATAGCCCTAAAAACCGAGGACCTGAGTTAGTCCACGAACGCATTGTCTCATTAGGGTTAGGGGTTGACGAGCCAGAGGCCACCTCTGACATGTGATGGGAGCGCGGGCTCGCGTGATGACCGCTATCCCGGTCGCCTTCGCGACGAAGCCGGAGCACTTCTCGGCCTCGCCGTCGAAGTACTTCTGGGTCTCGATGATCTGCTGATGCATCTTGGTGAGCTCTGCTCTCCCGCATTCTTCCAACTCCAGATCGTCTGGGTTCTCGAACAACTGCTTGTCATAGCTGAACCCGGAAGGCTTCCCTGTGGTATCTGCAGTCTTCGTCGGAGGTGACTGCGATCTGCTCTGAGAGATGCCTTCGCGAGTAGCAATAATCTGGGCTGCTTGCTTCTTGACGAGCTCGGCCTCCGCCAGCTCGCGTGCAAGTCGCTGCTCTTTCTCCTCCGCTAAGCCTAGCTGCTTCTTCAACCTCACCACAGCCTGTACGGCCTGTGTGTCGATTGTTCACGTCTCGCCAGGCTCCGTCATCTCGTTGCGAAGACTAGAGGGCTTCGGTGGTGGACCCCTGCTGCTCACTCTGAGCTTGCTTCAACTTGTTTTGGCCTGGGACTTGAGAGACTCGCGCAGGTCGGGATCTGTGGCCTGGAGCCCGAGGCCTGGAGCAAGGTTGCTCTGCGGCCTGGAGCAAGGTGGCCTGTGGCCTGGAGCAAGCCTTTGCTGGAGCCTGTGGCCTGGAGCCCGAGGCCTGGAGCAAACCTTGGTTTGCTCCAGCAGTGGTAGCACCGAGGTATTCCTAGGAGATGTCGGTGGGTGGCAGAGCGGCGGCGGGATCCTCGCTGTTCTCCCTCGGACTGGCTGTCCGCGAAAGAGACCTTGAGAATGCCTCTACGCCCCGTGCTGTCATCTCTATCATGATCCTTCTCCTCATCCTTGGACGGGGCGACGTACACCCTAACATTGTTCTTACAACGCGCACACTGCATGTCTCCGGGAACCAAAATGTCGTTCCACTCCGACAGCGATCAACGCCTGCATGTCAACCGCGCAAGTGCCATTACAGCAACCTCGGTTTTTGTCAGCACCGCTATCTGCGAGTGTCAAAGAGACTAGGACAGCAAACGCAGGGGTTGGTGCTGTCCCTTGAGCCAAAATTGCTACGGAGGGAAGAAGGGGGAGAGGAGGGAGGCGACGAGGAAGATGAGGTGGGAGGTATGGAAGGAGGGCCGCGTCACCCCAGACGCCAGATGCCGCGAGGCCACACTTGGTTTCCCGCGCGCGTAGAGGAGAGCGGGGAGGGAGAGCGCGGTGGCAGCTGGACGCCTTCGACGACGACGACGACGGCGGCGACGATGCCGACGACGACAGCGGCGACGACGACGGTGGCGGCGGCGACGATGACGACGACGACGACGACAGCGGCGGCGGCGACGATGACGACGATGACGACGACGGAGCGCACGCGCGCGCGCTTCTGAGTTTTCCTTCCCGCCGCGCGCAGCACCCTCTGGGCAGCCAAAACCAAGAAGAGGGAAGCCGGAACGCTTCCAACAGAGTATCGGCGGGGCGGGGGGGGGGCGCTGCGACCACCGATCCGAGTCCCCTCCTCTCTGCCGCCTCATACCTGCCAAAACCGAAAGGGATGAGCATGAGGAGGAGGAGGAGGAAGAAGAAGAAGAAGAGGAAGACGAGGGGAGGATGAGCGACGAGGACAAGGAGGATGAGCAGGAGTAGCAGGAGAGGAGTGGACGACGAGGGGGGGCAATGGGGGGAGGAGGGAGCAAGAGGAGGACGGGGGAGCACTGCTGGGGGGACGGGACGAATGCCGACCCGAACACCAAACTCGGCGGCGTACCCGGGGGGGGAAGGCAGAGGGGCGAGCCTCCCAGAAAGCTCAGCTTCCGAGGCCTCCCCTCTCAGAGGGTCTTCGAAGGGCTTCTGAGAAGCCCCGGCGCCTCGCGCGCCGCCGAAAGCGGGGGAGAGGACTCCGGATCGGGCGGGGCTTGGAGCGCCCGAAATGGGTACGGAAAACACATGCTCAACAACAGATACTCGACAGCAACAACAACAACAACAACAACAACAACAACAACAACAACAACAACAACAACAGCAGCAGCAGCAGCAGCAGCAGCAGCAGCAGCAACAACAACAACAACAACAAAACTATGGAACATGGGTACGATGCTCAACAACACATGTTGTCCAAAAACCGACAGCGGCCGCTGGTGGGCAACCAGCCGTCTCTCAACTGGACAACATCCGCGGGGATGCCGACAGCGAATCCAGTTCAAAATGAACAAGAACTGGTGGCAGTCTTCGTGCGCATCCTTTCCGAAATTACCCTCGGACCCCCGACGTCATGTTTTTTCCCAACGCCGACACCAAAGGTTTGGACCGCTTCCCCGGGGCTGGCTTTTCATCTTTAATCGTTTTTGGCCGTCCCTGGGCCTAGCGAGGGCCCCCGGAGGCAGAAAATGGCAAAAAAACTCCCGTCCTGATTTTCTCACAACGCGAGGGTTCTGGGTCAATCTCGATCGTACCAAGGCACGAGCGGGCGAACCATTCCGGGGAAACCAAAAGGTACCGATACCGCTACTCCCCGGACCTCTACCGGGGTGCGTTCTGACCAGAATCTTGAACCGAATCCAGCGGTGGCCACGAGATCCTCCCAGGAGGCCCCAAAAGGCGAAAACCGGGAGCTGCGGTATGGGTACCTTCTCCTTCTCCGACATTCTTTCCGTACCCAGTTCGATCGTACCGAGGGACGAGCTCGGGAACGCACTGACCCGGGTCAGTGCAGCCCTGGGTCAGTCAGACCTTGTAGGATCCGGCAAGATCCTGCAGGATTCTGCACGCAAGCTCGGGTCAATGCAACCCTGGCCCTGCAGGACTCTGCAACATCCGGCGCTCTGGCTCAAACCCGTTTACATTGACGCCCATCCCGTGAGCCCCGACGAGCGGGCGACGCACCCCCCACCCAGGCTCAGTTCAGGGGGACGTAAGACCTGGGTACAGGGGACTCGGAAGTCCCCGACGAGGTCGCCAAAAAAATGTCGAGGCCGAGCCTGCATTTTCACGAGGCCTCCCGCTGCAGACATCCCACGAAACTCCTGCTCGTCAAAATCCGAAGCGCGGTCGTCAAAAAACGATGGCGAACCCGAGTCCTGGCAAACCCGGGTCTTACGCTCCCCCGATCAGTATGCCAACACCGATCCTGGCCAGGATCACTGGGCCAGGATCGGTGTGGTGTATAGTTGGTGCCCTCCGACGAGCGGGCGACGCCCCCCCCACCCAGGATCAGTATGCAGGCGTCACGGCGGACCCCGCCGCGAGGAAGATGAGAACGGCTCCTGCGCGCCCGGTCTTCTCGGTGCGCTGGCCCCTCGCTCGCGGCCCAAGAATGGCTCACGCCCAGGCGCCCACCCTGGTTCCCTCCTCCTCCTCCTCCTCCTCCACCTCCTCCTCCTCCAACTCCTCCCTTTCCTCCTCCTCCTCCTCCTCCTCTTCCTCCTTCTCTTCCTCCTTCTCTTCCTCCTCCTCCTCCTCCTCCTCCTCCTCCTCCTGCTCATCATCATCATCATCATCATCATCATCATCATCATCATCATCATCATCATCATCATCATCATCGTCATCATCATCATCATCATCGTCATCATCATCATCATCATCATCAGCATCATCGTCATGATCATCATCATCATCATCAGCATCATCATCATCATCGTCATCATCATCGTCATCATCATCATCATGATCATGATCATGATCATGAGCACGATCATGATCATGATCATGATCAGCTCCAGCATCAGCATCGGCATCAGCACCAGCATAATACTAACATTCATCGTCATCATCATCAGCATCATCATGGTCATCATCACCACACCATCGTCATCGTCATCGTCATCATCATCATCAGCAGCATCATCAGCATCATCAGTATCATCATCATCATCATCATCATCATCATCATCATCATCATCATCATCATCATCATCATCACCATCACCGTCATCATCATCCTCATCAACAGCATCATCATCAGCAACAGCATCATCATCCAAATCCCCCTCCTCCTCCTCATCATCATTATCATCATTATCATCATTATCACCATTATCATCATCATCATCATCATCATCATCATCATCATCACCATCACCATCACCATCATCATCATCATCATCATCACCATCACCATCACCATCACCATCACCATCACCATCATCATCATCATCATCATCATCATCATCATCATCATCATCATCATCATCATCAGTAGCAGCAGCAGACACATCATCATCATCATCATCATCATCATCATCATCATCATCATCATCATCATCATCATCATCATCATCATCATCCCGGGCCCTTTTCTGATGGTGCCCGAGCCCAGCGAGGGCTCCCGGGGGCGAAAACGCCCGGCTCGAAAACTTCCGCCTCGGTTCATCCTCGTCCTGGCCCCGCCCGACGAAATCTGTGCAGGAGAGCCCAGAATCGAATCGATAAGTCGGATCGGCGATCGAAATGAATCGGATCGGCGGACATCGACAGCCGAGTCAGGAGAGGTCGAATCGGAGGAAATCGACGGGACAGCATGTCTCCGGGAAGGAACCGGAGTCCACATCGGAATCCCGAGTCGAAGCGGACCGGAATCGGAAGCCATCGAACTCGAATCGAATCGAACCGGAGAGAAATCGAGACGAGGGCTGCCTGTGGCAGCACCCGACCCCCGGGCGCGGCGGGGCGGCGCGCGCCGCGGCCGAGCGCTCGTCGGGGCGCGTCAGGGCGCGGGCTGCGCGGCCTCTCGGCGGCGGCTGGCCAAGCCCGGGGGGCGGGTGGAGCGAGGGGCGAGGGGCGAGGGGCGAGGGGCGGGTCGCGGGGGGGGAGGGCTCGAGGGGAGCACCCCGAGAGACCCGACGCTCCCAAAAAGTCGGAGCGGGCGGCTTTTGGTCTGGGGCCGTTCTGGGCCTCGGATGGCCCTACCGCCGGGCTTCGGGACCGCCGGGCGACGATCGAGACGACAAGCCGTCCCTACAGGGAAGTGGTCCAGACCTCTGGGGCCCACGCGCAAGAGGAGGAGGAGGAGGAGGAGGAGGAGGAAGAGGAGGAGGAGGAGGAGGAGGAGGAGGAGGAGGAGGAGGAGGAGGAGGAGGAGGAAGGAGGAGGAAGGAGGAGGAGGAGGAAGGAGGATCCTCGAGGAGGAGAAAGGCTCGAAGGGAGCATAGAGGGGCTTCGAGTCTCGAGGGGAAGATTGAGGGGGTTGGGGCTCGAGGAGAGGCTCGAGGGAAGGATCGCAGGGGGGATCGATGGGCTTCGGGTTCGAGGGGAGGGTCGATCGAGAGTCGAATGGCGAGGGGAGTGTCGACGGGAGGATCGAGGGGAGGGTCGAAGGACGAGGGGTTTCGGGTTCGGGGGGAGGGTCGAGTGGATCGAGGGGTTCAAGAATCCAGGGGCTCGAGAATCGAGGGGTTCGAGGATCGAGGTCTCTGCACGTTTTTGGGCCTCTTTTGAGGTCTCCTGGGGCGTCCTCGATCGCGGTCACGCGGCGATGGGTGCTCGGCGTCGTCGTTCGAGACTCGAAGTCCGGAAGACCGATGACTTTGGACGAGTCTGGCCGCGGTCAGTGCAGGGACGGCAAGCGATCACAACCATGTCGAGGGCACACCCTGGGGGATGTCCTGCGCAGGTCAACAATCGTCAGAACACCGAAGCCGGCTTAGGGCCTAGGGTTGATTGTGGTCCATGTTGCGTCCCAGGACGGCCAAATCGACCGCAGCTACAACCCAAGGCTTCATGCCGAGGTCATCGGGTTCTTCCACGAGGGGACCTCGCGAAAAACAGCCAGTTGCGGTGGCAATCGGGCGCTGTGGCTCTTCCGCGAGCACGGGACATCCGGCGGCTCGGCAACATTGAGGCGGCACGTCTTCCACCGCCCTGGGCCCCCTCGGAACCCCCGGTGTCCGGGCCCCCGGGCCATCAGGCAACGGCTCGAAACAGCATCGGCGGCGCGCCAAGGGTGGAAGTGCTTGGGGGGCGGCGGGGCTTACCTCTTGCTGTGTCACACTGCGTCGTCGGGAAAGAGAGAGACGCACAAAAACTCTCCAGGGCCACAGGCCTCCCGAGCCTTCCGAGAAGGCCCGCCCCCTCTGACTTCTCCCCCGGTCTCGCCGCCGATCGCAGAAGAATAGCAGCCGCAGAAACATTCACTCTCGCAGGCCGGGCAGATGTCTTGGATCGGTGCTGACCGCCCAGCGCTCCAGGGGCGCATCCAGAGGCGCTGCCAGAGGGCGTCCAGACCCGATGCAAAAAACTCCGCCCCGACCTCAAGAAACTCACGGTCATGCAGAGGGTTCTTCCTCGAGGCTCGGACTGGAGCGGGTCGAGGGGCCCACGTCTCAAAAACAAAACGAAAAGCGCTGGATGTCGGGGGGGGGGCAGGCGGGAGGCTGCAGAGGCGGAGGGGGGAGGAGCAGGGCGGAGGGAGGAGGAGGAGGAGGAGGAAGGAGAGGGAGCGGGAAGGGTAGCCCGACCGAGGATCTACACCGCAGACGTTCGATCGGGCCCCTCTTGAGTGGCTATTGAGAGGGGGGAGGGGGCGGAGAGGCCTTTGTGAGCAACATCTTTCCCGCGCCAAAGGTGCCCCAAGGGGCGCGGAAGATCTTCAGAAAAACGGTCGGCATAATCACAATTGTTCGAAGGTCCGCGTGGAGTTCTTGGACTGGCGCTGGGTCTCCCTGGCGGCGCTTCCGGCGCCTCCACTAGCTCTGGCGCGCCCCGAGCGCCACGGAAGCGCCTGGGATGGGGGATCCAGAGCCAGTCCGAGAAATCCGATCGGCCTCTGGCACCACATACTTGTGCAGTTTGTCCCAGCTCTCCTGAATTGGGCTCTCGCTTTCAAAACGTAGAGCGCTGATGTCCCCATCCTCCACTCTCCTCTCATCCCACCTCCTTCCTTCCGCCTCCTTCGTGGTTCCTCCTGACTCCTGCGTCCTGATAAATAAGTCCGACCTGCCACTTGCCTCCAACTTTCTCCTCCTCCTCCTCCTCCTCCTCCTCCTCCTTCTCTTCCTCCTTGCCCTCCCTGGGTGCCGCGAAAACAGTCGACACTCTCGTGGGCTCCGGGAAATCCAACGAAACGACGCATCTTGCCATCGCTCGGGCGTCCATTTCCCGTGCATGTTTCGGTTTCGCGCGTGCTTTCTTTGCCAGGTGATGAGGGATGCTCCTCGATGGTCGTCGCGGAGAAAAATGCACACGTCCGAGCGATGCCCAAGTACTTTTCAAGTCAGACCGAGACCTCATTCTTCCTGGGGGCTGCGCACCTGCCGTCTCTTTCCTGGGCTCCTGCCAGGTCGTGGAGTAGCGTCTCATTCAAGTCGGAATGGGACCTCGCCCTCCCTGGGCACTGAGACGTGCGAAACTGTGGCCACTGTCGGGGCCTCCTCCCCTTTCGCGAGGGGTTGCCTACGCTGCAGCGGTCGCCGCGTTCGTGGGCTCTTGAGAGGTGCAGCGGAATGACGTCTTAGTCTGATCAGGCTGCGACCTCGCCGTCCAAAAGTCGCCGCTTTCGTGGGCTCCTGCTTGGACGTCCGACATGGGTACGGAAAAAAAGGTACACTGCCCAACAACAAAAGTTGTCAAAACCGACAACGGCCGCTGTTGGGCAGGCAGCTTTCTTGTTTTCAGTGATGAACGTCCGCGGCGGCGCGGACAGCGAATCCTGTTCAAAGTGAACATGAACTGCTGTCGGTTGCTGTGCCCACTCTTTCCGTACCCAGGTCGCTCGTCCCGATGCTGGCTGTTCCAGCGGACTGACGTCCTCTTCTGCTCAGCATGCGACTTCTTGGGCGCCCGGGTTATCCGGTGCGACTCGGGCCCGGGGTGACTCGGGCTTGGATTCCCGAATAACGAACCCGAGTTGACCCTGACCCGAGTGACCCGTGATGGTTCGGGGCGCCGCGGCGGCCCGCGGCACTGTCGACCCGCCCGTGGGCCCCCGGAGATCTCGCCCGCGGCGCCCGGGGCCCGCGCGCCCGCGGCCGCGTGTCGCTCCCACTGCCGGCGGAGTGCCGTCTTATCCGGCTGTCCCTCCTGATCTCTTTGTCTGCTCCCGCCCTTCTCTCTCCCGCCTCCCTCCTCCCTCCCGCCTCGTCTGTCCTCCCGCCTCCCTCCCTTCTCTCTCCTATCCCCCTCTCCTTCTGGCGCCCGCAGCCCTCCCCTCGACTCCAACTCCCAGGGCTTCTTCTATCCTCTTCAGCACTTCCACGTCTCTCTTTCCCCCTCTCCTATCCCCCTCTCCTTCTGGCTCCCGCAGCCCTCCCCTCGACTCCAACTCCCAGGGCTTCTTCTATCCTCTTCAGCGCTTCCACGTCCCTCTACCAACCTGCCTTCCTTCCCCCGCTTACTCCTCAGATCCTGCTATCCTCCTGCCTTCTTCCACGCCCCGCCCCTTTTTACGCCCTGTCTCCATCATTGATTCCACTTCCTTCCACCCCATTCCCGCTCGTGCTCCTCGTTGTCTTTCCGTCTTCTCTGCTCCATGCCCCCAAAAGTTCTGCCTCACTCATGGGTATCAGTTCACTCATACGCATCACTTTAATCCTGCAACGCGCGAACAGCGCATTTCGCTTCGCAACACGCAAGGAATTTCGCGTCGTGTCATCACCCACAGCAATTTGGCCAATTGCTCCGGCCACATTGTGCAAAGTGGTTGGGCACGTCGCTAGGTATGCTACAGTCGAATCTTAAGGGGCGTTCGCTACATCGTATCTAGGTGGCTTTAATCATTGCCCTTGTTGTGGATGTTAATGCCACCGGTGATGGAAGCAAGTTGATGGATAGAACGCACATCACACGAGAGGGAGGAGGGGTAAAGATAGGAGGGGACTGGCAAAGGGGGGAACATCGACCTGGAATCGGCGATACATCGCCGACAGACCGGCGATAGGCTCCCGATCGCCAATCTCCATGTTCTTGGGCGGGGTGTGGTTATCGGGCCCCTATCGGCGATGAGTGGACGCTAAGGGGTCGATGCATCCCCCCTCCTATGCCTATCCCCCATGGGAGCGGCCAGTGGTGAGGAGGGAGGAGGAGGAAGATGAGGAGGAGGAGGAGGAGGAGGAGGAGGAGGTGGAGGAGGAAGAGGAGGAGGAGGAGGAGGAGAGGAGGAGGAAGGGGTGGAGGAGGAGGTGGAGGAGGAGTTCCAGACGCCGCTGCAGCTTTGCGGCCACAGCCAGAGCAATGCGGAAAAGCGGACCGACAACTGAGGAGTAGGAACGGGGAACGGGGACGGGGTAGGGGCGGAGGGGGGTAGCCGGGGGACGGGGAGGAGGACTAGGAGCAAGGAGGGAGGAGGGGGAGGGAGGAGGGAGAGGGAGGAGGGGGAGGGACGAGGGGGAGGGAGGAGGAGGAGGGGGAGGGACGCAGGGACGAGGAGGAGGAGAGAGCGAGCGTGAGGAGCGCAGACAGGGACTGCTTGCGCGGGGCCTCGACGAAAAGCAGGGTGCGCACGCAGCCGTCCTGCCGTCGGCGGGGCGGGGGGGGGAGCGCGCCAAAGCGGCCGCCTCCTCAAATGCCAGCTCCTACCTTATCCTCGTCCTCCGTCCTTCCTCCTCCTCCTCCTCCGTCTCCGCCTCATCCTCCTCCTCGTCCTCCTCCGTCTCCTCCTTCTCCTCCTCATTCTCCTCACTCTCCTCACATTCCCACCGCATTCCCATCATCATCATCATCATCATCATCATCATCATCATCATCATCATCAACATCATCATCATCATCATCATCATCAGCATCATCATCATCATATTCATGCTCATCATATTCATCATACTCATCATATTCATCATCATCATCATCATCATCATCATCATCATCATCATGGTCATCATCATCATCATCACCACCATCGCCATCATCATCATCTTCATGGCATGGTTTTAAAAACAACAACATCATCATCAACAACATGAATCATCATCATCGTCGTCGCCGTCGTCACTGTCATCGTCGTCATCATCGCTATCGTCATCATCATCAGAAGCATCGTCATCATGATCGTCATCATCATTTTCATCAACATCATAGTCACCACAGCCACGAGCATGATCACCATCACCGTCATCATCATCATCATCATCATCCTCATCCTCATCAGCATCATAACGATGATCATCCACATCATCAGCACATCAACATCAACATCAACATCAGCATCACCATAATCATCATGACCCTGGTGTTCCTCATCCTCCTCATCATCAACATCAATATCATCTTCACCATCACCATCACCATCATCATCGCTAGCGTCATGACCACACTCACGATCACCATCCTCATCACAACCAACATCACCAGCATTGTCATCATCACCACAACCATCATCAACATCATCATAATCAGAATCATAATCATCATCATCCTCATCAAAATCACTGTCGTCGCCATCGCTGTCGTCTCTGTGGGAGATGGCATCATCTTTGTCATCATCGTCATCACCATCATTATTACAGTCGCCATACTTAATATCGTCGTCGCCATCACCATCACCAGCAGCAATAGCATCGACATCAACATCGGCATAAGCATCGTGATCAACCTCAGCATCAACATCAGCAGCACCAACACCAACACCAACAGCACCATCATCATCACTATCATCATCATCATCATCATCATTCTCATCATCATCATAATCATCAGTGTCATCAGCATCATCATCATCGTCATCATCATCACCACCACTACAATCATCATCATCGAAATCGTCGGCATCATCACCAGCAGCAGCAGCATCGGCATCAGCATCAGTATCAGCACCATCAGCAGCATCACCGTCACCATCATCACCACCGCTATCAGCATTATCATCACCATCATCACCAGCATCAACACTATCATCACCGCCAGCATCATCACCATCATCAGCGCCAGCATCACCATCATCATCATCACCAACATAACCATCACCATTACCAGCATCATCATCATCATCATCATCACCATCACCATCATCATCATCATCATCATCATCATCATCACCATCATAACGATGATCATCCTAATCATCAGCGACATCACCATCACCATCATCATCACCATAATCATCATGACCCTGACCATCCTCCTCCTCCTCCTCATCCTCATCATCATCATTATCATCTTCACCATCACCATCATCATCGTCATCGCTAGCGTCATGACCACCATCACTATCACCATCCTCATCGCAGCCATCAACTCCAGCATCGTCATCATCACCACCACCATCATCAACATCATCAGCATCGTCCTCATCAAGATCACCGTCGTCGCCATCGCTGTCGTCTCCGTGGGAGATGGCATCATCATTGTCACCATCGTCATCACCATCATTATTACAGTCGCCATGATTACTATCGTCGTCGCCATCACCATCACCAGAAGCAACAGCAGAACCATCGCCATCGACATCGTCATCGACATAAGCATCGTGATCAACCTCAACAGCACCATCATCATCATCATCACCATCATCTGCATCATCATCATCGTCATCATCAGCATCATCAACACCACCACCACCATCATCAGCATCATCATCGGAATCGTCATCATCAGCAGCAGCAGCAGCATCGGCATCGGCATCAGCACCGGCATCAGCACCATCAACATCATCACCACCATGATTATCATCAGCAGCATCATCACCATCATTACCGCCAGCATCATCACCATCATCAGCGCCAGCATCACCATCATCATCATCATCATCATCATCACCATCACCAGCATCACCATCACCGTCACCACCATCATCATCACCATCATCATCAACAGCATGAGCTCCAGGACGGCGCCGACGCGGTGCGCCTGGGCGGGGTGGAGACTTCGCTCGCGAGGCCGCCGCAGCCTCGCCGACGGCCCGACCGCGGCCAGGCACAGGACGCACGCTGCGCAGGCCATGGGCCCGCCGTGCCCGGGACCACCGCCGCCGCCCACAGGCATCCGATGCCTTTCGATGCAGGCCCCCCAGAGGCCAAGCCCTTTTCCGCGGGGCTGGCTTTCACGCGTCAACGCGCGTGCCCACGAACGGGAAAACGAGGAGGAGGAGGAGGAGGAGGAGGGGGAGGAGGAGGAGGGAGGAGGAGGAGGAGGAGGAGGAGGAGGGGAGGAGGAGGGAGCAGGAGGAAAACGAGGAGGAGGGAGCAGGAGGAGGGAGGAGGAGGAGGAGGAGGAGGAGGAGGCGAGGGAGGAGGAGGAGGAGGAGGAGGAGGAGGAGGGAGCAGGAGGAGGAGGAGGAGGAGGAGGAAAACGAGGAGGAGGAGGAGGAGGAGGAGGAGGAGGAGGAGGAGGAGGGAGGAGGAGGGAGCAGGCACCAAGGCACCGATACCACTGCTCTGTGCACCTCTCCCGGGGTGCGGTGCGACGAGGATCGCGGGGCGAGTGCAGCAGTGGCGAGGAGGGCCTCCCGGGAGGCCCCAAGGGGCGAAAACGAGGGGGAGGGCGGCAGCACGGGTACGGCAGGTTCGCGTCGTGTCGACCCCGGCGTTGGTTTCTGACACCGCGGGGTCAACCTTGAACGATCGGCCGCTGCCGCAACGTCCGATCGTTCAACATCGATCGATTCTGGGTCGCCGGCGGCGTTCAACCTTGAACGTCCGCGCTGGGGTCGCCGCTGGTCGACACGACGCAAACCTACCGTACCCTCTCCTCTCCCAAAAACTTGCAGGACACGGGGAGCGAGGGCCTCCCAGGAGGCCCCAGGAGGCGGAAACGAGGGGGAAGGGTGGCAGCACGGGTACCCTCTCCTCTCCCGAGAACTTGCAGGACACGGGGAGCGAGGGCCTCCCAGGAGGCCCCAAGAGGCGGAAACGAGGGGAGGGTGGCAGCACGGGTACCCTCTCCTCTCCCGAGAACTTGCAGGACACAGGAAGCGAGGGCCTCCCAGGAGGCCCCAGGAGGCGGAAACGAGGGGAGGGTGGCAGCACGGGTACCCTCTCCTCTCCCGAGAACTTGCAGGACACAGGAAGCAAGGGCGCCCAGGAGGCCCCAAGAGGCGGAAACGAGGGGAGGGTGGCAGCACGGGTACCCTCTCCTCTCCCGAAAACCTGCAGGACACAGGACACAGGACGCAAGGGCGCCTGACTTCGCGCTCTCGCGCGGCGCGGAGCGCGAAGAACCTCGCGCTCTCGCGCCGCCCCCCAGGGGAGAAGAGGAATCCGAGGAGGAGTCGGGAACTGCGAAGCGCGAAGAACTGCGCGCTCTCGCGCCGCCCCCAGGGGAGAAGAGGAATCCGAGGAGGAGTCGGGAACCGCGAAGCGCGGAGAACATCGCGCCCTCGAGGGCGCCCCCAGGGGAGAAGAGGAATCTGAGGAGGAGTCGGGAACCGCGAAGCGCGGAGAACATCGCGCCCTCGCGCCCCCCCCCCAGGGGAGAAGAGGAATCCGAGGAGGAGTCGGGAACCGCGAAGCGCGAAGAGCTTCGCGCCCTCGAGGGCGCCCTTGCAAAACGCGTGTGAAATCGGCCGAAGCCACCCGCCCCGCGGCGCGGGCGGGCGAGGCGCGTCCTCGGACCCGGAGGCGATGGCGGAGCCGTCCCTGGCGAAGGCCAGCGTGTGCACCTGGCGCCACGAGGAGGCACGGCGGGGAGGGGGGGGGGGCGCGTCGCAAGGAGCAGGGCGAGGCCGGAGGGCTCGAGCCCCGAGGCCTCGCGGGCTCGCGGGCTCGAGGGCTCGAGGGGTCGAGGGTAGCGGCTCGAGGGGCGAGGATTTGAGGATCTGAGGGTTCGAGCCTCGAGGGCTCGCGGGCTCGAGGGCTCGAGGGTCGAGGGTGGAGGCTCGAGGGCCGAGGATCTGAGGCTTCGAGGGGAGAGGGCTCGCGGGCTCGAGGGGCGGGGTGTCGAGGGCTCCAGGCTCGAGGCTCGAGAAGCGAGGGCCCCGGCTCGGGGAGCGAGGCCCCCGAGCGGCTGCTCGCCTCGAAGAGATGCGCGTGCTCGATCGCCCCCGGGGCCCGAGGACGGGCCCCAGAGGCCGAAGGTCGAGGAAAAAAGTCGAGGAAAAACGCCGAGTATCGACGAAAAGTCGAAGGACGGGCCCCGGGGGCCGAAGTCGAAGGATCGAGGAAAAGCCGAAGGATGGAAGAAAAGTCGAAGGGCCGAAGTCGATGAGAGACGCCGGGATCGAGAGAGTCAGGTCGTCGGAGGTCGGAGGGATCTTCGGGCCACAGCTCGGGCCTCCGGCAGCCGTGCGGGGCGAGTCGGCCCTCCTCCCTCCTCCCTCCTCCCTCCTCCCTCCTCCCTCCTCCCCCTCCCCCCCTCCCTCCTCCCTCCTCCCTCCTCCCTCCTCCCTCCTCCCTCCTCCCTCCTCCCTCCTCCCTCCTCCCTCCTCCCTCCCCCTGCTTGCGTCGGAGAGGAGAGCACGGGACGCTGTTGGGTGCCTCGGAGAAAGGACTCGTTGCAAAACCACGCGCGCATCATCGCGTCATTCGGTGAACCATGTGGTTTAGATTTAAGCGCTGGGAGAACAAATATCATCACGAGTAGGGTCGGGCGATGCTGTGGGGCCAAAGCGGAGAAGCAATCGAACGTGACGGTCACGCAGAACGTGTGGGAGGCGTGCAATGTTCGCAGGCTTCGTGGGGTTTCCGAGCGAAGCCGAAACTGGGGCCCAACCCTGGGAGGCACGGCAGGGGGCGCGTCCTGCCTCGATAGGGGGTGCATCCGAATGGCCCCCTTGGAGGGTTCTATCCCAGGGTTCCCCCCCGGGCGCAACCCAAGCATTGGGGGAGACACATCGCCCGCGAGTGCGGGCGGCCGGCCCCGAACCGAACGCACACGGCGCCCTCTTCTGGACGCGAGCGGGGCACGACTGCACCATACAAACTGCACGTGCGGTATGGAGCCGTGCGAGCACGAGCCTCCAGCACAGGACGCGGGTTTCAGAAGCGCGTGTATTATGCTCAAGACTGTTCTGCGGCCTCGCATCGCGCATGTTTCTCAAGGCAGACCGGGGCAGGCTCGGCAACTCCCAAGCGAGATGCACCCGTAAGATGTTCAGCATCGCACCGTCATGTTTGTCTCACGTTAGCAACGCTGAGGCGCGCGCCGCAGCAAACATTAACATTGCCCCACTTTCAATTCATGGATTGAAGAGGCGATTAGGCGACGATCAAACACGGGTCTTACGCGAGATGACACGGCGATATTACGCGGTGGCTTACGCTGGCCGCCAGCACGGCACACCACATTTGAAGCGAGGGCGCGCGGGTCTTACGCGGGCAGCCTACGCGCCAATGTCGGTGAAGCCGACCCCGTTTTTCTGTCCGTCGGATGTGTATCGCAAGTTGGCGAGACAGAGGCCTAGCAGCTTACCTGGAGCGATGGTGTTCGAGCGCGGGGTGGCCGATAATTACCATGACGGTCTCGAATCGTGCATGATTCTCAAGGCAATTCAGGACAAGCTTGACAGTTTCTAGGCGAATAGCACCGTCACTGCCTCACGTTAGCAATGCTGAGGTGCGTGCCGCCGCAAACATTAGCGCACGTTCGATTCATGCGTTCCGAGGACAATTGAATGTATATCGCAATTTGACCAGGCAGAGGCCCAGCAGCTTACCCAGAGCGATGGTGTTCGAGCGCAGGGGTGGCCGATGGAATCATGCCACGAAGCTTGGGCGCCCCCCCCAGGCGCCGAGGAAGGCCACGCCTAATTGCAGCGGACTGCGCACGTGCGCGCCGAAGCCTTGGCTGCCGCGGGGAACGACCTGGACGCACTGCAAGACCCATGGAGGCCATTCAAAAAGAGGGCACTCCCAAGCGCAGTCCCAGCGATCCGAGGCCACGCAAAAAGAAAAGGAGCGGGCGGCTGTTGGCTGCTGAATCGGCATCCCGTGCCATCGCCGGGCCCCGGGGCCGTCAAACATCAGGTCGGGATTAAGTCGGGCGTGTCCCCCTACAGGGGAAAGATCCAAAAATAGTAACAAAAATAGTCTGGGGACGATTTTTAGGCGATTTTTGAATATTTGGGGGTATTTTTTGATTTCATCCACAATCCCCCTGTAGGGGGACACGCCCGACTTAAGGTCAGGACGAACAGCCGGCCCTAATAGGGAAATGGTCCAGGCCTCCGGGGACCACGCATCAGAGAAACTGGAGCAGCCGGATGCCTGGGATGGCAAGCAGCAGCTTCAACATGCTGCCTCGGAGTGTATTTCTTCCTCGGCCGCCGCCTCCCCCTTCCTCCCTCGCTCCCTGCCTCCTCCCGCTCCGTCGTTTCCCTTCTCCCCTCGTGTAGTGCAGCCTACCCTCGCGCAGGGTTTGGACCGAGGCACTGCTGCTACTCAGCGTTTTCGCCGTTGCACTTTGCATGGTTCCACACACGTGTTTCTGCCATTTTTCATTTGGTGCCGATGCGCCGTCGGTCCGCGGCGTTCTTCGTTCCCGCTTGCTGCCGTTGATGCCCACTCGTACAGCCGAGCATAAGCACGCAGGATACTCCAAGGGGAGTCCAGATTCTGCCGCAGCATACCCAGGAGTGGAACTGCTGAGCCTGCCCTCTGCTCCCCCTGGCTGTTGCCGGGGGCCGCTCCTCGTGCCCCTCCTCCCTCCTCCTCCTCCTCCTCCTCCTCCTCCTCCTCCTCCTCCTCCTCCTCCTCCTCCTCCTCCTCCTCCTCCTCCTCCTCCTCTACACTGCAGCGTCCCAGCCTTGCACGCGACGGCCCGTGGAGGCTTGCTTCCCCTGTCGTCTGGGTCAGGGGCTGCGGCCCGCAGGCCGGAGGGGGTTAAGCACGATGGGACGCATCGTTGACTCCTGGAAGCCACCGGAGACAGCGAGTTCTCGGCGAGGCGCAGCTTCTGGAGAGCGTCCCGAGGCTGGAACACCGCCGAGCACTGAGGAACGCGCGCGATACTTCGAACCTCGTGCCTGCCGTTGCCCCTGGTTCCCAGTCTGGACCACGCGCTCCACCTCGTCCCAAACGCTCCACTTCTGGCCCCCCCCTCGTCGCATGTCTCGGGGGCGTCCAAGAGGGGGGCGTCCAAGAGGGGGGGGGGGGGGGGCGAAGCACGCGCGCAGCCCAGGGGCGGACCAGAGACACATTAACAAAAGACGAAGCGCCACAAAATCCGAGGAGATTTCATGGCCCAGCCATGATATCCCCTACTAACGACGTTTGACGGATCCCCATCCTCCCCACTGGCGTGACCTGGGCCCCACTGGCCGATTTACCCCCCTGGATGGGGATGAGGCTGTTGCCTCCGGGCTTCGAAGGGGGTGGTGGCATGGTGGGGATCGGGATGGGGACGAAGATCGGCTAAACGATGCTGACCCCAATCATCTCCTCCCTCTGGGCCGCCCCCGAACTCGAGGATCCACTGACCCGGGTCTATCCAAATCCGGGCCAGTCAGGCTTCGCAAGATCACGCAGCATCCTGCACGATGACCCGGGTCAGCGCACCCCAGGCTCTGCAGGATCCTGCAAGATCCCGCGCTCTGGCTGACCCCCCTTTGCATTGACCCCCGCCTCTTGAGCTCCGACGAAGCGAGGAGCAGATCCCCAGCCGGGGTGGTGGGACGGTGGGGATCGGGATGGGGATGGGGATGAGGGGCGGTGAAACGAGGGGAGAGGGGATCGGGGACGAGGACTGGCTGAACGATGGGATTGGGGACGAGGATGGTGGGGATCGGCATGGGGCTTGGGGCTTGGTCAAACGAGGCGGGCCCCCGTCGCCACCTCCCTCACGGGCCGCCCCCCGAGCGTCGAGGGGCCCCGCGTGCGCACCGGGCCGAAGTGCCCCTTGGTCACGCCGTCCGCCTGGCCGCGGGCCGCGGGGCGAGGAGGGGGCGGCGGCGGCGGCCCTCGGCGGGCGGGGCCCCCCGCGGAGGGCCGGCGAGAACGAGGGGGGGCTGGCTGCTCGCCGGCCGCAGCTCTCCTGTGGTCAACCTTTGGGGAGGACAAATAAAATAATCTCCCATATTTTCCCATATTTTCTGGGTTTTTGTCTTCCCCCCCACTTCCCATATTTTCCCATATTTTCCTGGGAATCGACAATTAATTGTGTCTGTGTGTTTTTTCTCCTCCTGAGAGGTGCCGAGACCAAGGCTCGAGCTGAGCAGGAAGGGCCGGCTGCTCGCCCGCTGCACCGCCTGCAGCTGCACGGGTCGGCTCTCGCCGGCGAGGAGAGCGTCCCGAGCGTCGGACAAAGCCTGAATCTCCGCTGCCTCGACGGCCGCGCGAACAAGGCCTCGGGGTCAAGAGGAAAAAGCAAGCTCCTGTGCGGACATGACGACGAGGCAGAGTAGCAACAATACTTGGGCAGTGACAGGCCATCCCGGTATACCTGTAGGCCCACCACCAGATGATCTGACAACACAACACGGCACCAGACGCAGAAACGAGATCCTTGCCACGTGAAAGAGACGTCTTCTTACAGGGCTGTCTCGGCCAGACGTGTTCTGACAACCTTCTATACAAACCACAAGTGGTGTACATATTGGCAGGGGGCACTTCTTCACTGCCTGAAGGAGGTGCAGGATAAGTCCAGTAGGGGATCGACGACAGAATTGATGTACCCCAAACTCGAGCTCTTCGTCGAACCCAGTGAAAGTATTACGCATCCCCTGTAGATTCGACGAGAACAGCAAGTTTGGGGTAACATTCAATTCTGTAATCGATCCCCTACCCAAAGAAGGAGCCCCTTCTTCTCTTCCGCCAGCGGCGCGGGAGGGGCCGCAGACCTCCAGCGCGCACGGCGTGGGCTCTTTGCCTGGCCGGGCGCGGGGCGAAGATGGCTTGGCTGCCCGCAGGAGCGACCGCAGCAGATTTCCTCCACGCCGGCAGCGCCGATGCATATCGTCATCCTCCGACCCCACTTTAGAGGGCAGAAAATCTACCCTCATAAGAATCACCCCGACACGCGAAGCCACTGAGTAAACGTGCCCAGAGAAGGAATCGAGCAGAGCAGGGCTGTTAATAAACGCCCAGGCCCGTGTAGTAAACGCCAATTGTCTGGTCCGGGTGGTTTTTCCTTCCTTGACACTTACTCGGACCCCACTTTGGAGGTGGCGGAGGGAGGATTGAAGGAGGAACAACTGCATAAGCCTCAACATTCGCATGTCCACTCGTACATCTTGGATCGGCGCTGGACACTCCGAACAGCGTCTCCAGCGCCGCCCCTGCCGCACTTTGCGCGCCACGGGTGGGGTCCAGCGCCAATCTTGTAAGAAATTCGCACGGACCTCCGAGCGTTTCTGTTCATGCCGCTTCCCTTCTGCACGTGTAAGACTTTGATGCGCGACCTAACGATCGATGAATATATGTTTAAAAGCTGTAGCCCTTGCGAAGCCGCCAGCAGCCTCAAGACCTCAAGGGACCTCCAGAGACACTTGCGTGACAAAACCAGCGCGCTCGGTTGACAAAAACATGGATCGATCGCTCTCGCTTTCCGTCGCGCTTGCCTTGGAATAGCCCCTCTACTACATTGGCTCAGGATGGTGGGGAAGGGGCAAGGGAGGAGGGGGGGATGACGGGAAATGGAGGAGGGGCAAGGAGGGGGAGGGAGGAGGAAGGACGACAGCAGCAGGGTGCACGAGGGAACAAAAACAAAACAAGCATGATCGCATCCATGAAGCTCTTTGAACATGATAAAACACGTCACAGCTAAGCATAAACTGCTGGAGGTCTATGCGGATTTCTTGGGTCGGCGCTGGGCCCCCCTGTCTGGCGCGCGGAGTGCACCAGGGGCGGCGCCAGGGGGATCCAACGCCGCACCAAGAAAACCGCGCGGACTTCCGAAAGATTGATGTTTGTGCAGCTGTCTCTTTCTTCCTCGAAGAAAGGGACTGGCCCACAGGGGACACATGGGCACCCAGATCCGCGCGGGCCTCTGGAAGTTTATGTTCATGCCGGTGTTTGCATGCCCGCTCAGGGCCTGTGGACAGAACCCAACTGCTGATCCGCTGGCGAATGGGCCGCATCGCAACGGACCACACCAGCGGATACAGTCAACCCGCACAGCCGCACAGTAAGGATGGGCAACCTTCCCAAGGGTACCCTTGCATCCGTACATCCTCGGTCCATCCTTGGCCACTTTCGCTGGCTGCGCCCCGCTCGAAAAGCTTCGAAATGGGCGTCCAAGGCCCTTACATCCTTATCGCGCATCCTTCCTGTACTGGTTGACTGTATCGGAGGTTGGGGGGTGAGATCGAAGTGGAACGGAGAGCCCCCCTACCGGGAAATCGATTTCGGTTTCGTGTTCGTGCGTGCCGTGCGGGCGAGGCGAAGCTGCGTGGGCGGGCGAGAGAAAGTCTCCTGTGGCTGAGGCGCGGCCGGACCAAATGACTCCCTTCCGGGCGGCCGGGGCCCGCGGTGTCCCGCCGGTGTCCCGCTGGTGTCCCGTGTGGCTGAGGCGCGGCCGGACCAAATGATTCCCTTCCGGGCGGCCGGGGCCCCGCGGTGTCCCGCCGGTGTCCCGCGGTGTCCCGCGGTGTCCCGCGGTGTCCCGCGGTGTCCCGCCGTGTCCCGCGGTGTCCCGCGAGGATGATGATGATGATGATGATGATGAGATGATGATGATGATGATGATGATGATGATGATGATGATGATGATGATGATGATGATGATGATGATGATGACGAGGATGATGCTGATGATGATGATGATGATGATGATGATGATGAGATGATGGTGATGGTGTCCCGATGAAGATGATGATGATGTTGATGATGGTGTCGATGATGATGATAGTGTCCCGATGATGAGGATGATGATGCTCATGATGATTATGTTGATGAAGGTGACGATGATGGTGTCCCGATGAGAATGATGATGATGATGATGATGATGATGATTCCGATGATGTTGGTGATGATGACGTTGATGGAAATGGTGTCCCAGCGATAATGATGTTTATGATGACGTTGATGATGATTATGGTGTCCCGATGATGATGCTGATGATGATGGTGATGATGATCGTGATGCTGATGGTGTCCCGATGATGATACTAATGATAATGACGATGTTGATGATGATGTTGCTCATGATGATGACGGTGCCCCAATGATGATGATGTTGTTGATGATGATGTCGATGATGATGATGATGCGATGATCATGATGATGATGGTGTCCCGAGGATGATGACGATGTTGATGATAATGTTGATGATGAGAACGATGGTGATCATGATGGTGTCCCGATTAAGATGATGATTATGATGATGCTGCTGATGATGATGACGATGACTGTGTCCCGATGATGATGATGATGTTGATGATGAGATGATGATGGTGATGATGATGATGATGATGTCCCGATGATGATGCTGACGTTGATGATGATGTTTATGATGATGATGATGACGGTGCCCTCATGATGATGACGATGATGGTGATGTTGATGTTGATGATGTTGATGATGATGATGATGATGATGATGATGATGATGATGACGTTGATTGTGAGAGCGATTGTGATATCGATAGTGAGACCGAATGTGAGATCGATTGTGTGATCGATTGTGAGATCGATTGTGAGATCAATTGTGAGATCAATCGAATGAGATAGATCGAGTGAGATCGATTGTGAGATCGATCGAGTGAGATCGATCGAGCGAGATTGACAGTGAGATCGATACTGAGATCGATAGTGAGACCCCCCCCGAACCTCCTTATCACCCGAAGGGTGGTCGTATAGGTATCAGCCAAGCAGGGCCGCGAGGATGCAAAAAAAATACAACTTCGGCGCACGCAGGCGCGCAGCCGAGGCCGTCGGCGAAGCTCCCTTCCGGGGCACGACGCGCGCAAGGGGCGCAGCGGGCGGCGCAGCAGCGGGGGGGGGAGGGGAGGAGGGGAACGGCAGGTCTGGGGTTAGGTCGGGCATGTCCCCCCTACAGGGGAATCTTGGTCGAAAAATGCAGCAAATACCAAACAAATAGTCAAAAAATGATCAACAATTGTCAAAAAATCGTCTCCCCACAATTTTTGGATTTTTTTTTTGAACATCCCCCCAGTAGAGGGACAGGCCCGACCTAAGTCTGGGGACCTGCGTCGCGGGCGGAGAGAGAGAGAGAGAGAGAAGGATAGGTGGCGACATCCGAAACCTGCCCCCACCAAGCACCGATTCTCCCGATTCGCTGGGCGGCGGGGTCAGGGCGCGGATTTCGCCGCGTGCTCGACGAACTCTGAGCCCTGCCCCCGCCGCCCATGGAGTTGCCTTCCTCCTCCTCCTCCTCCTCCTCCTCCTTGTTCTCCTCCCCCTCCTCCTCGTCCTCCTCCTCCTCCTCCTCCGAGTCGTTGATCGGCGGCGGTGGAGATCGGACTTCGCTGCCGACAGGATGGATGGGAAACGGGCAGCGCATGTTCTGTCGCGGACTCGGCGAATGCGCAGGTCGGCAGGGCTCCGTCGGGTGGCGGTAAAAACAGGCTGGCACCGGGGCAGAGGCGAAGGGTGGAGGACAACGACCAAAACATGCGGTGGAGATCAACCATCCTCGGGTCTGCCCCCATCCCTGAGACCGATGACAGGGCCAATTCGCTTACAGCGCTAATGCGCTAATGATGCGCTCTTCGATGCCGATGCAAGCCATGAGTCGCCATGAGGGTAGAGATGTTTATGCGTCCTGCTGGTAAAAGGGCGTCCCCCTTCTCGCGCACAACAGAAACCTTCCAGCGCCAAAGCGT